GATTGTGAAGGAACCTTCCAAAAAAATGGAAAAGGTTTTTTTTTTCACAAAGGAGAAGAAGAAGAAAGGATTTTACCGCTTTTCAGTGTCTCCGTGTCTTTGGGCGAATTAGAGAAAATCTTCTTGCTCCCAAATAGAGAAGAAGACTCTAGTTAAATGGGCTTAATATTATGGGCCTTAAAGAGCCCATTATATAGTTTGCTTTCTTCTTGTTTTACAACAAAACCCTTGAGAGACGCGACGAGAGAAAACCCTAGAGAGACGAGCACGAAGATGACGCAGAAGAGCAATCTGTTCAAGGGCCAAAAGAAGAAGAAGACTGTTACTCAAAATCGCCATGGAAAATCTGTTCAAACTCGTAAAGGTATTCACTTTATTACCTATAAATCCCTCACGATTTTTAGTTTCTGAGATTCTTAATCATTTTCTTGTTACAGGGAAGAGGAACGTGAAACCATCAAAGACCACGAAGGAGCTAGACACCGATCGGGTACTTTTCTCTTTTCTTCAATCTCTCTTAATCTGAGTCGACTTGTAAGTAAAATTGTTTTTGTGAATGGAGCAGGAGCTTACGAAATTCATAAACCATTGCAATGAAGTGAAAGCAGCTAATGCAGCTTGCAAAGAAGGTGGGCAACTTAATATCCTCAAGGCCGAATCTGCTGAGCCATCAATGAAATCAGCTAAATAGACTTTTTTTGGTTTCAAGTGTTTCAACTTTTGTAATTCTCACTACAATCACTCTGTTTTGTCTTTGAATCACTATCTCGGTATTGTTTCCAGTTTTTTTTTCCACATACAATCGTTTATAATTCTTCAACAGTAACAAAGGACATGGAAATTGAAACCGAAATTCAAATTCATCAGAGATTGAATTTCCATACGCTGATGAATTTGCCACTGTGAGCTGTTACTATCTTCTTCATTCCCATTGCTAAGCAACTGATTTGAGGCCGAGTTTTCTTTTCGATTTTATCAATTTCGATATCTTGAGGAACTCTTTTCCCTCGCCTTTTCTCAACCACCACTTGGTTGTTGCTTCTCAAAGTTGTTGAGACCTTCTCGCCCATTATACAGCTAGACAGAACTCTTCCACTCTTCTGATCGATCACTCGCAAGACACCGTCTATTCCACCAGCAACCATAACCGATGCATCGTTCCTCAGATGCTGAATCGAGTATACGACATTAGGACTCACTCGTGTTTCCCACAACCGTCTCATTTTCCTGTGATAAAGCTTTGTTATATAACACATCTCCAAATAGTGTTTTTTGTATATCCTGATTCGAACTTGCGTCTTTTAAACAAACCCAGACTTTTCTTTTTAACATACCTGAGGTCCCAGCATGAAACATATCCAGCGGTTGTTCCAGAAAAGGCGAGATTAGAGGATTGGTTAAAACAGATAGTCTGTATACCTGTGAAGAATACTGAGATTGTTTTAAGCATTTTCACTCGAAATGCAATCTGAAATGGAGTTTGAGTTTACCTCCTGCAGTTATTGTGGATTTAAGAGTAGCCACTGGTTGGTCCGACAAAGGGTCAGATACTGTTACTCTCCCGAGTGATGACCCGCTAAGAAATAGTTGATTATCGCTCAAAGATAAGCACGTAACTGGACCACCATGAGTCCTGCAATAAGATAGTGGACAGCATTAGCAAATTTGATAGAAAATTTCTGCTTTAGCTTCTCACAAGAAATTGTAAACAATATGAATAACGATAACCAAAACTTTCACTAGTTCCACAACAAAAGAAGCACAATATCTAGCTTACCTAATGATCTGCGAACATGTCTTACTGTACATATCAAAGACACGAGCTGTCCCATCCTCGCATCCAACTATAGCTTCTGGGTCGATGTAACTGGTTGATGAAGAAAACACAAAGCTTTATAAAGTGTGGATAGAACCCAATCTAACAAGCGCTAGCTAGTGATTACTGTCAGGTAACATGGAATATCAGTTGGTCCTCCTATAGCAACTAAAATGAGCTTATATTTCAAATAAAACAATAAGGTTCTCAATATTTCATGAGTATCGTTTGACATACCGCATACAAAGGCCCTTAGGAAATGTGCCTTCACGAGAAGGGAAAACGCTTCTTTGTCCATTTCTCCTCCATATGCTAATGCGGGTACCAACCAAGCCAACAATCTCAAAAATAAAATTCATAAGTTAGGGGCTTTACCCTTGCTCAAGATAGCTTGTTTCTCTAATTTCCAATTTATTAAAGAGAGTAACATGATTTAGCCAAAAAGGTTTTACACATGAGTGTACTTGAGGTTTACCTTACTCTCATCAAAATCGAAGTCGATCAAGGAAGCAGCATCAGGAAGGGAGTATTCTTCCATGCATTTGTAGCTGTTCAATGACCAGAGGCGCATAACCTGAAAAAAAGTAGTCAAAATACCTTAGCCAATGCTAAATCGATAACACATAGCGATAAAACAACACATAGCGGACAAATACGTAATAAAATTGCACGTTACAAAGCCAATTCATACTAGGAACGTTTTACCTTATCACCTACACCAGTAAGAAGCAAACCTTTCTTCATTCGACACTGAGAAACCCTGACATACAGGACATTAGAAATATGGCAAAATTGAATCTTTCGGACAAGAAAACCCAATGGGAAACATTGCCTCACCGGTGCGAATGAGCTTCCCATCGCTCGATATCGATCCGTCCCCTTAGTAATCCCATCTTGTGATGTTTCATTGCAAAATCCTCCACGTCTATCTCAGCTGGACGTTCCAGTGACCTGGAACTACTGGGAAAGTCCGAACCAAGCTGATGCATCTTCCGACATGAAGCTTGTAAGAGCTTCAACCTCTTGATTACAGCATTCCTCAATTATCATCAATAGAGAAAATTCGC